CGGCATTCTCCACCAAATGATGGACTAAAATTAGAATGAATTTTAAGCAATTCAGTTGATTATTTCCAAGGACGAAACTTTGCACAGTGCCCAAATACAAATGGGCTTTTGTAAGAGACTCCCATGCAAAGATCAAAAGGAGGTGATCCCTCCTCTCTGTGAGATGAGCACCAACACCTCTGGTACTACAGCCCAAAGCTGCAAAAACATTGCTCTAAACCTCTCAACTAAAGCAACTTGGCCTTCAAAATCCAGCCATTAGAACCCCTAGTCACTTCAGCTCTTGCACTACGGAGAGGAGACAGAGACCATAACCTCGAAGTACAAGAAGGGATACTAAGTCATTTGGTTACCATCCTGGCTTTGTGAGCATTCACTGCTACCAAGCTGCACCTTGAAAGAGCTATGGAATGAATGTGAAGCTTCAGGCAGGATGGGACCAGGATGAGGTCCTTTAAACTGTTCTGTCTTGTGTTTACATATACCTGACAATCAATCTTTCTAGATGCCTGTTTTCTGTTTTAAAATGTTCATTCATGAAGCACTGGTGTCCTTTCTCACCCTGGGACTCTGTTTATAGTAAGTAAGGAACTGCAACGAATTTCTACTCCACCTTGCACCCCTGTCTACCAGAGTCTACCCTACTTACAACATAAGACAAAGTAGTGGAAAAATCTGGACAATAAATAAGGCTGCTTTTCAATTACCTGGTCTGCTGTAATGCTGAGGAGAATGGGAGGTTGGAGTGTAGCGACCATAGCCCAGTGAGCCCGCAGAGCTAGGACTCGACGTCCTGTACTGCTTGAAAGATCTGTCATCTTGGTCACCCTGAGTGGAACAGAGGAATTATATGTCATTAGGGAAGAGAAAGAACTTCCGAAACGGGAAGAATATTCCATTTTGCACATTTCTGTGCCATATAGATGGAAGTTGATGTAGCCGTAATGCTCCATGCAATCCCAATGAAATGAGGCAGCATCCAGCCGTAAGCGCCTCCACCGCAGTGTGACCAAAAGAGCTCTGCCAAGTATCAGAGAACAGTCATGTTCCCAGGAAAGTCAGCACATAGACGAATTTAAAACAACAATATTATTTGAAAAGACCGTAACACTGTATAAGATTTGCTTCAGGACAGTGTAACTCCCTGAACGTACACAAGTGGATGAAAGATGAGATCAGGTTAGTGTGACAGTACTGTGGTCACTTCGCATCCACAGGGACAGATGCGTAACGGCTACAAGCAAGACAAAAATCAGCATTTGTTGGCTACATTACATCACAGAAACAAAACACTACAAATTAGAACAAATCAATGCAACCTGCAGATGCTCCCTTGTGGAAAGTCATACTTCAAAAAATGCTTCCCCTCTCCTATTCCAGTAGGAGCGAGTGAAGACATGCTACACTATAGCAGTGCTAGTCACCCGTTACGAATACTGGGACATCTTTAGGCATCTGTGTGACTCCCACTGGATCACTCATCACTTAAATACACAGAGGTTCTACTTATTTCCATCATAATTTTTCATATTCCTATCAGGACAGCTTAACTACATCCATCCATTCATCTTCATGAATTTGGCTTCTCTGGGATTCTCCTTGACTCTATAGAGATGCACAATGTTCTCCAAATGTCCGTTTTTCTCCTCTGGTTCAAGTGTGCTCCAACCCTCCCACCTCAACCCAGACTCCGTGCATTTTCAAAAATGGAAAATCAGGTTTATATAGCACTATGTAGCATTATTGTTTTAATATCAATTTCAGAAGAAATAATACAAAAACCAGAGAACTGATGCCTTCCTAAGCATGCAGCATTCTGAAGGCATTCTACCACCATCTTCTCTATGCCCAGTTTGCCATGTTTCCCTCCCAAAGTAGATACATTATTTATTATCCACTCTAACCCTTGAAAGAGTTACAAGTATAGTTACAAGTATAGTTACAAGAGGTAGTTATAATTAACTATATCAGTGTATATATTATATATATAATAGAATAGAATATAGAATGTATAT